CCTAATAACGTCTCATCTTAGTTCTAACTAAGGTGGCATATTGTGACGCCCCAATTTTTAGGGGTTCCAATTAACTTGTTGATCACCCATCAACCCACAAAATAACCCATGATACCATTTAACCCGATAACATGTAATCACGTCACATTCACCAGGATCTATAATTAAACAAAATCTAGGCAGAGTCTCCTTTGTACGGATAGGTCTACTCAAAACACAACTTGTGCATTCTAATACTATCCATTGACCATACCAGGTCCCAACCATCAATATTCAATCAACATAGCATTGAATACTAACATCCACGACATTCATTTATTCACAAAATAATAATGTTCATAACAGTCTCATTACATGCCTTCAACAAAATACAAGTTTTGTACTTAAATTATACAATGCCAAATATAAGTATATATAAGGGACTACAAAATATAACTCAAAAGCCACAGCCCATCTCTGTCATCAATACGGGCCCAAGTGAGGGCCTCCAACGAAAGCCTGTCAAACATCTGAAATATATTCCCATAAAGGGTGAGTCATGCTCAATAGTGTATCTCCTATGGAGATCACCTCTCAACCCAAATGTATAAGAAATGTCATGTGTAAACATCATGTCAAGCATCCATTCAAAAATATCTATATCATAAACGAATGCTATAAATTCTATATCATGCTATGATATGAGAACTCATGCATGCAATGCAACCCTGAGTCCCACCGGCCCCCATAACACATTGTATGTCAGACGTATGCAACTGGGTATCCCAAGCCCCCGCCACCATTGATGTTAGACATCCAATGACTATTTTATAAAAATTTGTCTTTTTGGGATAGGTATTTATGAACTTACACCAATAGTTATCTAACCGACATATAATTTATGAATTTTCACCGATGGTTTCTTATACACCGAAACACTTTATGGGCTCAATAATAATGGGAATGCACATCCAAAGTTACTGGGTCTTGCACCCAAGGGACAATTTAGCCCATATTGCTAACTCGACACTCTTTTTTATGCAAACTTGTGCGAATTAGCCAGACCTAGGGCCAACCTTTCTGATCCCATATATCAACCCACTAAGAATGGTGTTTGATCAAAAACATACACACATACACCCACACTCATGTCATATGCCTATGACTGCGATATTACCTATGCATATGCAAATGTAATGTACAATTATATTTCATATCATCATATCATAAAGCATATAATAAATATGTCCGTGTTCTATAAACATTCTAAGCATGTCACATATGATTTCAATCCAAATAATATACTTGAATCCTAAGCATTTGATCAAACACTTAGTGGACATAAAATGTAAACACATAGCATACCCAAACAAACCATTTCATCAAAGCAAAACATCTTACTACCAATAGGTCATGTCTCTCCTACCGGTAGGTTCACATTGTTTGAACCCAAATCCAAATCAAGCAAGAATTGATTTTTAACATGTTCTCGTACTCATTTTTCGTACCCTAGATACTAGAGTAAGCTAACATGTGAGATTGCGTCTCTATAGTCCTACCTATTTCATATTGCAACTTTAGGTTGCAATTAAGTCTAAATAGGAGGAAACCCTACCTCTTGAAGCGTAGGCCCTCATCATAGAAATCCTGAGCATCTCAACTCAAGCCTTAGCCCTCAATTCTTGCCTTTGAAATTTTGGTGTAAGGCATGATCTTTGGTATGGTTGCGTAACTCGTATTACGTAGAAAAATTTTAATTCTTAGCTGAAGCAATCTAACTGTTAGATCTTCGTGGATCTAAGAAAGAAGATGAAAAGGAGACTCTCTCTCTCTTTCTCTCTCTCTCTCTCTAGATCTTTGGGAAAAATGGGTGAAAGTCCCAAATTTTCCCCCTTTTTATGCTTCCACATTTTCTTAGCCCTCGTTGTGCCACAAGTCCCCTTTTAAGTGATCTCGTTTTATTCTGAATCAATTCGCGTGACATCTGATCGCATCATAAAACGGAAAAAATTTAACTATCTCAAAATTCAATGAAAATTTACTAGGTAACTAAAATTCGCGAAACGAATCCAATGTCAAGGTATGTTTCGTCATACAAGATCTAGAAAATTTTGGATTTTCAACCCATACCATAATAGCTGATTACCATTTTGTCCTTTTTAATTAAATTTTAATTTTTCCCGGTTTCACACATATAGCAATGATGTTTATGTTTATTTTGCTCACCTCTTTGGTGCCAAAGATATAAATGTCTCATTTTACTCGCTTTCTCAGCGCCAAGGTAAATCCTACGTGTGAATTGGTGGATTCAAGACTAGCGACACATTTGACATAACAACGTGTATTTACATAATGCAACAATCATTCCAAGAATAAATCATATAAGGAATGTGTACTCATAATAATGTCAATTACATAAGAACCCCTTACATATACAATCCTATGAAGTTCTATGCTCCTAATGTAGGACAAAAACACATCTCTAGCAATGGGCTTGGTCAATGGATCAGCTACCATCTTGCCAGTGGAGATATGCTCTAGGACCACCTCCCTTTGCCCAACCATATCTCTAATGTAGTGATAACAAACATCAATGTGTTTGGTTTTTCCATGATAGTTGGGATCCCTCACATATGCCAAAGCAAATGCTTTTATCATAATAAACAAGGGCAACCTCATCTACATGGGATGTAATATGTAAACATTAGAGGAATCTCCTCAACTAAACATCTTCATGGATAGCTGTTGAACCAACCACATACTCTGACTCCATTGTGGACATGCCAATACAAATCTGCTTCTTATTACACCAAGAAATAGATCCATCTCATAGAATGAATGCGTAACCCAACGTGGATTTGCGCTCATCTTTGTCTCTTGCCCCATTAGCATCGCTATAACCTCTTAGTATAAGATCTCCACCTTGATAGCATAAGACGAGGTCAGCAGTCCAACAAAGGTATCGAAGAATCCTCTTTACCACTTTCCAGTGAATGTGTCCAGGATTACTCTGATAATGATTGGCTATACCAATTGTGTCGCAAATATCTGGTCAGGTACATAACATAATGTATTTCAAACTCCCTATCGTAGCTACATAAAGCACTCTGGACATTTGATTCTTTTCCTCATTTGTTTTAGGGCATTGGTCTAGGCTTCCCTATAACCTTCTAACCATCCAATAATAGGGTACCATAATCACCTTCACTTAGGAGGGTTGCTTGTCTTGTAACTTCATCCAATGACCTAGGTTGAGATCTATTTGCCCATGTGGGCGGATCTTGATCCGGGTCCAGTAACTTACCATTAATTAATAAGATGAATGTTCTAATAATAGGCGATGTGAAAATGGTTGACACATTCTTTGCCGATGTGTTTAAAGATGGCCGATCTGAAAACAATTGCCACCTTCCTTCCGAATATGTTTGAGATGAATCTTTTGATGTAGGTCAAGTTCCTAGAGATGTTAGTTGGCTATTTATTTTAAAAAAGTCTTTAAATTGGTAGAATCAATTGTAATTCCATCTCTCACACGTAAAATCAAATTCCAAAGACACATAACCCTTAGTTTTTGTTGTAGGACCTTTTGTGTGGAGAGTAACACTAATGTTGTTACTTACCTGAAAAAACATCAATATTGATGAAGGGATTACAGGGAAAATGATATAATACCAGAAAACATCATGGTGTCTGACTTAATGGAAGCTATAACTTATATCTTATATTACTAATAAAAGTATTACCTTAGCATACAAAACTTTTGATTCACTATTTTTCCTTTATAAAATATTATAAAGGCTAATATGTCCTTTTGTATTTAAATATACAAATTACCATTATAATCCTATGTATTTAAATAACAAACTAATCTGTAACAAATCATGTAAATCTCTCTATATTTGTAAAATTTTTGAATGATCATGTTATGGTTAACATTATATATATATATATATATATAATATTATTCTTTTTTTTCAAAACCCAATATTAATACACGTCGATAACTCCATTAATACAATATTATCTCCAACACCCAAAAGCGGATATATATCGTTTCTCTTCATTCAGAATCAAAATAATTTAGTTCGAAACAATTGAGGCACAAAGTAAAATAAGAAAGACAAAAAGAAAAAAAAAATCAATAATAGAAAAATCTATAACCCTGAATGAAAGAATCACAAAAAATAAGTTCATTGGATGTTTATAGTTATGAAAATAATACAAACAATTTAGGTATGATAATTATGAGATAATATCTAATTTTGCTACATTATTAGAATTTTTTTCTGTATTTTATCAAATGTTTAAAAAACAAATGTACATATAACGCACGTGGTACAGTGCTAGTGGAGCCTAACTAGCTAGTTTTCAATAATCATATAGCCTACCTAAAGAATTCATAAACATCTCTAAGCAAAAAGTGGATAAAATACTAAATTGGTGGTTCCTCGTGAAGGAAATGTTTATTCCACCTTTGATTATTCAAGTCTCAATTATGTTATTTTGGTTCTTAGAATATTACATTTATTCTTAAATGATCTAGTTGTTTATATATGTCTGGGTAATTTTTTCGGTAAACGTTTGTGTCTAAGTAAATGACAGACCAGATTCTTTCGTTTGAATTCGGCCGTAATAATATGCACTGTACTTAAAATAATGACTCATCATTACATATTAAAAAACAATTGAAATAGACACAATAATAACATAATTAAAAATTGACAGACACCAATATATTTTTTCTTGTAATTTTTTGCATTTATTGTTGGTATAGTTTGGACATCCATATCAGTGTTGTCTGGTTATCTATTTGTCAATTTCCCTAGCAGGGTGGACCATGCCCATAGAAAATTTAGTTTCAATAAAAGTGGAGTGGATTGTACGTAATAGACTCGTAGTGACCGGTGACGTGGAAGGTTTAATATCTATTGTTTATAAGGTTGATGGAGGCTATATATAAGAACCAGCTTAGAAAACAAAATTGTGTTTGTCAGAAACATTGTTGTTAGAACGCTGGATTGATGGCCTCTCCCACTGGCTACATCTTTCTTAGGTTTCTCCTCTCTGGTTCTGGTTTTTGCTTCTTGCTTCTCTTTTCTTTGGAAAAGGGGCATGCTCTTGAAAGAAGAGAGATTCTAGAAAGTCACCATCATACTGTTCAAATCAGTTCTCTACTACCAGATTCTTCTTGCAAACCATCGCCCAAAGGTCTCTCTCTCTCTCTCTCTCTCTCTCTCTCTCTCTCTGCAGATATATAATTAGTGTATGCAATTTTAGAAACAAACCAGACAACACACTTCTTGGTACCCACAGTTCCAACGTAAACTTTGGATGGATACAATCATATGTAAACCATGCTTATCGGTTAAACATAAATTTTATGTGACCAGTAGACTTTAAGTCAAAACATGTTAGTTTGCAGAATAATGTTATATGGACTTAAAAAGTAGACTTGATAATCACAACCATTGAATAGGTAATGGGTCCCAATAATACTGAGACTCACAGTGAAATCATGGTTGTAATTATTAAGTCTACTTTTTCAGTTCATATAACATTGTTGTAATTTGTAACTTGATCTTTGTTCAAAAAAAGTTTCATTTGTTGTTACCCGTATTACACCTTTTCAACTAAATTGAACCACTCCTAGCTAATTACTGAGGGAAGAAGAATTACTAGTTAATGGGAACAATTATCTTTATTTACTAGCATTTAATTATCAGTTTTATTCTCAATTTTCTACTATCTCTTATCCTCAATAATTCTAAGCGATTGTTCAAACTAATTTCTTATCATGCATAACTGTTAGATCATTTACTGAATTATCTACCCATCAAATAACTCTTCTTTTTGAATCTGGTTCATGAGTTACCATCAGAGCAGTTTGTTAAAGCAAATTGATTGTCACGGAACCTAGCTAGGATGGAAAAAGGAAATATGTGCACTTTTTCATCTGTTGTTTTATATGCTAATTAAAGTCACCATTGGCCCCATGAAAAGGCCCTACAAGGCTGTGGCCAATAGAACCATTCTTATGTGAAAAACCAAGAGAAATGCCAAAGCTTCTAACTTTGTTTTTTAAAAATAAAAAGTATATATTTATGTATATAACAATGACTATATTTGGTTGTAATCGTGGAATAGTTTTCATTAGAACCACTGGTTTTCTTAATACCAAATAATTGCTTTGGTGATGGATCTTATGATGATCTTATTTTTATATGCAAGAGGACAAATAACTAAAAAGAAAACCAATACGAGCATAAGACTAAGAGCAATATTACGTTGACCAAATTAAGGGACAAAATGAACTCATGCCATTAAATGAGAGTAGATCTCAATATTTGGTTGAGCTGTTGTATATTCAAAGAATATATTATATTCTCAAATTCAATCTCTATAGTAAGTCCAACTAGTACTATTGTACTACTAAAGCTTTCGATAGAAAACTTGGCAATATACGGTTGTAAGGGGCTAAGTTGTTTATTTGATTTCTTTTACAAGATTCTTTGCAGGAATTATTGCTTGAGGCACCACCTTGCCTGTTTATTAAGCCTCTATCTCATTGTTTCTTACAAGATTAATGCTATACAGTCAACTTATAGGAAACACATCCCTTTCGGACAAAGTTTTGGAAGAAATCTGTGGACCCAAATAAAAAAGCCAAAAAAACAAGTGGTAGGAGTGGGGGTGGGGTTGAGAGAGAGATAGAGAAAGAACTCTTAAGTGACTTATGGGAACAAGTCCCATGCCACCATCCACGATATGTTAAGAGTACCAAATACTTGCTTTTTCGCCTCTCATTCCTAGGTTATCATCAAAAGTTGTTACAACATTATCTTCTGCAACTGTTTTGGCTATAAAGCAAAGCGTCACACAAAATTAAGTGAAAAAAAAAATAATGGCTTGTCATTACTCACCACACAAAATTCATACCTTTTATAAAGTAAAATTTCCGGGTTCATCTGCCTATTATTATAAATCCGAAAATGGATGAAACAAAAACATGGCAGTCGTATATGATAGTAAGAGACAGTGAGACTCTCAGAGACAACCCGAAGCCACCCAAACTAGACCATGATTGCGGGATATACATGAAGCAATGATTTCATTTCCAATCTTGGTGCCTTAATTTGAGATCTATTCTTGCTCTCTAAAGTTTTGTTCCTTATATTATTGTTGCACAAGATCCTGGGGGAAAGGGGAACAATCGCACCAAGGATTTGAAAAATCGGTTCCTACTATATTATGGTAATTCTTGCGATTATAAAGAGGTCAATCTTCCGAAATCATTTCCTTAAGTCACCCTAAGAGATGTCCAACATATTCATCCACACTAAGCATGATTCCAAACTTAGCTGACAAGGCAACGGAAGAGACTAAGTGGTGAGTGAATGCACACCACTAGTTTTGTGTTTCTGCCCGTGTGCACAAGTAGAAGTCAATTAATTTCTCTGAGATCTTGTAGTGACAGAATTTTTATACACAGTATACATTTGAAAGCATTGAAATAACGTGTTTTAATGTTGGCAAGCACAAAAGTCATAGTATTTTTATATCTCCAAATGACATTTTAATTCTTACCGTGTAACGTTTTCATATTAACCTAATTAGCCATATGTTCATCAGGTGCCAACAAAAAGTCATCACTGAAAGTTGTTCATAGGCATGGCCCATGCTCTCAACTGAGTCGAAACAAGGGCAATGCTCCAACCCTCACTGAGATCCTTTCTCATGACCAAGCCCGAGTCAACTCAATGCACTTGCGACTCGCCTTCAACTCGGGCAAAACAAGTCTCCAAGACTCACAAGTCACCCTCCCAGCACAATCCGGCAGCTCACTCGGCACCGGCAACTACTTCGTGACCGTCGGAATTGGCACCCCAAAGAGAGACTTGTCCCTCAGTTTCGACACCGGCAGCGACCTCACATGGACTCAGTGCCTGCCATGTGTAAGTGTAAAATCCTGCTATCAACAACAACAACCCATCTTCGACCCATCACAGTCCACTTCATATTCTAACATCAGCTGCAACTCAACGCTGTGTTCTCAACTCAACTCCGCCACCGGGAACACACCAGGTCAGCGGCAGACCCATATAATGCTCAATCTTCTTTTGAAAAATGGTTTTTCTAAGTGTTTGGAATTTTGGATAGGGAAATGCTATTTAAACTTAAAATGTAGACTTAATCAGTAAAAATCATTAAATAGTTAATAAGTTTTAATAAATATTTGAATCTATATTGAAATCAATGACAGTAATTGATTAAGTTTATATTTTAAATTCATATAATATTGTTCGGTTAGATATAAAAAAGAGCAGGATTTAATATATTAACTTAATTTGTTAATTTAATTAATTATTATTATTAAATTGATAATGAACATCACTGGTAGTTGAGATTCGTCACCAATTTTATGGCTATGAGATATTGGATCAGCAAATTAAATAAATAAATTAAGCCCAAATAATGTTTTTGCAGATAATTCATTTCAAATATTTTCTAAATGTGCTTAATCATCTCATATTTTAGCTAAATCTCCAAAGCGTCGAGAAAGTAAACTTAATTATTATTTAGTTTGTTGAATCTTTTCGATACGTTTTTTGAAAGAGTAATACTATTTGGATTTAAAAATTTGACATAATTATGTGACTTTAGTAGAACCATTGGATTAACATAAAATTTTAATGTTTGATGGGATTTATATTCAATCAAAAGGTTATAGTGAATTAAATTAACAAATTAAGTTAATAAATTAGACCTAGTAACATTGCTCTAATATATATATATATATTGAATATGAAAAGTAACGCGAAAAATTATTGACGAGCACGAATTTGATTGGGCTAGACCCAATGAAAACAATCCGAGAAAGCTTGAAAGAAAGTCTAAATCGAAACTGGATCGACCTATTGGAAAGGAAGACACCAAGAGGACAGTACAAAAGCCAATGGCCGAAGGAGGAGGAGGACAAAGGAGCCCTTGGGTGGCGCCCAAATCTTGATCCTCCTCACCTTGGTACTCCAAGTCTAGGTCCAGGTCCAAGCCAAGCCTACTCAAGACAAATCCAAGTCCAGGTCCAGGTCCAAGCCAAGTCTACTCAAGACAAGTCCAGGTCCAACTAATGTTCTCCTCCGGATGAATAGGAACACGTGGAAAGATAATATGGAGATAGATATAGAAGATCTCCTACCACAGAAATACTTGCCAAAGCAATAGAATTCTTCTCCTTCACGTCACCACCTCTTCTACCTTACCCTAGCTATATAATGTAAGCCCTCTCAACTTGAAGAGCCTCCGACGCCTCCAAGACCTTCGAACCTTACACTCATTGTTTTCTCTTTGTCTCCCCAAAAGCACTGTATCTCTCCAGAGTACTGTCATTCATTAACATCAATAAAGAACACAGGGCATCGCTGCCATTCCCGAGAGTGGACGTACGTCACCCGGACCGAACCACTATAAATCTCGATGTTGATCTATTATTTACTATTTTACTCTTAATTGTCATCGATTGCTTGTTTGTCACCCATTAATTGCCCATTAATCACACCCTTACACATACTTGACTGTTGATCTTGCACGAAGACAATTTTGTGCATCATCAGTTTGGCGCCGTCTGTAGGAAACGACTAATTTTTCTACTCACTCATTCCCCGGCAATCACTACCCGATCGATGAGCCAGCAACCGGGAGACAACAACCCAGCTCACCGGGAGGAGGCTTTGCCTCCCACTGTACCTGTGGAACGTTTCGCTACTACCACTCCCGCCACTAGACAGCAGCAACAACTCCTCCAGACTATGAAGCTTCTGGTGAACCAAAACCAGCAAATCATCCAACTCATGCTCTCCCAAGGAGGCGTCGCCCATCACCCCGCAAATAGGAGTCCCAATCCCTCCAACAGGAGAGGAGCCGCTACTTGTCCTTTTCGGGCGCTAGGTCTCTCGCCAGAATGTTCCAAGGCCACGGTCAGGGAGCCCCTCGTCAAGCGATCCCTCCTCAACGCGCAGGGAGCACACATGTTCCCCTTTTCACATGTGCCTGCGCAGGAGGACGAAGGAAAAAGTCAATATGGAGACCACGAGAGCCAATACCATCACCCGATCGAAGATGTCCCCAACCAGTGGGACGAGAAGATTAGGGAAGTGCAGGACCAGCTTGGTAATGCCCTCAACGCTATCAAGGCGCAGGTGCCTGAAACCGTGGACTATCTGGTAAGGCACACTGATACTCCTTTTGTTACTGACATTGTTAATTACCCGTTGCCTTCGAAGTTCAAGATGGTCACCATCGAGATCTTCGATGGCATCAAAGACCCCATCGACCACTTGGACACCAACAAATCCCTCATGTAACTACACAACATGCCTGAGGAGATTATGTGTAGAGCCTTCCCTACCACCCTCAACGGCCCCGCACATCAATGGTTTGCAAATATCAAGCCCTCATCCATCCACTCCTTCATAGAACTCAGCATGTCCTTCGTCTCCCACTTTATTAGGGGACATCGATATCAGAGACTAGTGACCCACCTGCTCACCATCAAGCAGGACAGGGATGAAAGCCTGAGAGACTATCTTGTCTGCTTCAACGAGGAGGCTCTCCAGATTGAGGAGCCAGATGATAAGGTATCTCTTGTCGCCTTTATTGCTGGCCTGCGCACCTCTAGTTTCATGTTCTCTGTCCTCAAGAAACCGCCCTCTAGTATGCACGAGCTGCTGTCAAGGGCACAGAAATACATGAATGCTGAGGACGTCACCAAGGCCCGTCGAGGTGAGTCTTCCCAAGGAGGGGAGAAGAGGAAAGACACCAGTGAAGACAAGTGAGACGCGGAGAACAAGAGAAAAAGAACCGAAAGAGTTTCTGTGAAGGACCGTCTCGGTCTATACCCCCCGAGAGACCGACAACCTTTCACGCCACTCAATGCCTCAGTGGAGCACATCCTATTCTAGATACAGGATGACCCCACGCTCCGTTGCCCAGGAAAAATGAAGTTCGCCCCAAACCGTAGAAATCACAGCAGGTACTGTTGCTTCCACCGCGACCATGGCCACGACACAGATGATTGCAATGAGCTCAAGAGACAGATAGAAGAGCTGATACAGCGTGGTCAGTTGAGGCAATACGTTGGTGGCAGAGGACAAGCCCTGCCAATTGGTTGTTACCAAGACGACAGAGAACGCCAACAACCCCTCGGAGAAATTTAGACAATCTCTTGAGGGCTACAACTCCGCCAAGGAAACATCGGCCCACCAATGGGACACGCTTGAAGATTTTATTTATCTTTTACAATTTCAGTTGATTTATTTTGTTATTCATTATTTTATAAAATTTGGCAAGATTAAGGTTTTCATAATTGTCTTGTTTTCATCTCAAATAGCCTACGACCTATCAACAACAAGGCAGACAAAAAGTCAAAAGGCGTCCAAATGAGGGGTCTCGCCCTCTCCACCTTAGGCGCCCCCATGACGGTCTCGCCTTCTCCACCTTGGCACCTCATTCGATGTCCCCTAGACGATAGGTCTCACCCCCTCTCACCAGGCGGGCCCAAACGATAGGTCTCACCCCCTCTCACTAGTGCCCAAATGAGGGGTCTCGTCATCTCCACCTTGGGTGCCCCCATGATGGTTCTTGCCCCCTCTCACCAGCCACCCAGCTTCAATTCTAACTCATCAACACCCTCCTCATTTCCATCACAGTGGAATGAGTCTCAGGCTCCTTGCTCCTTAGATCCCTCTTCATCTCCATCTCAATGGAATGAGAGAGCCCTCTTTATCTCCATCTAAATGGAATGAGTCTCTGCCACATCAGCCCTCTTCTGAGCTATACATAGTTGTACCTCTACTCCCGAACAGCCTCAATCACTAGCTTAGTGCCTTATTTATGAGCCAACCCCAATTGCTCCGCGGGCATTCTCTCGTGTATGTCGCCCGAGCCCAACTTGCTCTGCGGCATCCTCTCTTGCCTATCGTCCGAGCCCTACTTGTTCCGCGGCATCCTCTCGTGCCTGCCGTCCGAGCCCTACTGCTCCATGGCATCCTCTCGTGCCTACCACTAGAGCCATACTTGCTCTTCAGCAACTCCTGTGCCTACCTCTCTGATATCCTACAGGCCCAAAGGCTCTCGTTCATCAAAGTCAGGTCAAAGTAGGACAACTATGTGGAGCTACAGTCCCCATAGAAGACCGCACAAGAGTCTCAACTCCAAAGGCTAGCTCTAGAAGTCATAGTCGGGGAAGGAGTGGGGGCACCACTAGATCTCGCCTCCCAAAAAGCAACCTAACCATCAAGCGTTGGTCAAAAAGTACTAGGGGCATCACCCTCTTGGGAGGAGGAGAAGACAACACAAAGAACCTCCACCTCCATGATCGCCGCCCAGCTCTCCCTCTCGCCTAGAAGAGGCGCCCAAAGCAGTCTGCAATGCTGTCTGCCTCGCCTGTCAAGCTGACGTCGCCCACCAAGTCTCCCCCCCTATATTTGATGCCATATAGGGGTCCACAGTAGGGAAGGCATTGCCCAGCAAGGCACTGGCGTCGCCAATGGGGATGGGTCCTCCCATCTCACCTTCACAACCGCCTAGTGCAAGACCCATGGCGTCGCTCACATTGCCCATGGACTCCTCACCAAAGTCACTTCTCACTTTGCATCAAGGGGAAACAAAAAATAATAATAATAATAATAATAATAAAAGAGGAGAAGATGGAGGCAGCGCCCAGCAAGAGGAAAACCAAGAAGGAAAAAAAAAAAGAAAGGGAGAGAGAGGAAAGGGAGAGAGCAATGAAAACCAAGAAGAAAGAAAAAAAATAAATAAATAAGAGAAGGTGAAAGTGGCGCCCAGCATCAAGAAAAGAAAAAAAAAAGTTGAAAAGTCAATCAACAAAAAAAAAAAAAATTTGTTTGATGCCGATCAATATAGCGGAGTCCTAAAGACGAAAAAACAAAAAAAAAATTTATGCTCACTCGAAGAAAGACGAAACACATGCCCTTAATCCCTTCTTCTCTATGAAAGTCAGAGACCTAGAGCATGGGGGCCAAATGACGAGCACGAATTTGATTGGGCTAGACCCAATGAAAACAATCCGAGAAAACTTGAAAGAAAGTCTAAATCGAAACTGGATTGACCCATTGGAAAGGAAGACACCAAGAAGACAACACCAAAAGCCAACGGCCGAAGGAGGAGGACAACGGAGCCCTTGGGCGCCGCCCAAGGCAGGCCCTTAGGCGTCGCCTAGGCAGACCCTTGGGCGCCGCCCATGGCAGCCCTTGGGCACCTCTTCTCTTGATCCTCCTCACCTTGATACTCCAGGTCCAGGTCCAAGCCAAGCCTACTGAAGACAAGTCCAGGTCCAAATCCAAGTCAAGCCTACTTAAGACAAGTCCAGGTCCAACTAATGTTCTCCTCTGGATGGATAGGAACACGAGGGAAGATAATATGGAGATAGATATAGAAAATCTCCTACCATAGAAATACTTGTCAAAGCAATAGAATTCTTCTCCTTCACATCACCGCCTCTGCTACCTTACCCTAAATATATAATGTAAGTCCTCTCAACATGAAGGGTCTCCAACGCCTCCAAGGCCTTCAAATCTTACACTCATTGTTTTCTCTTTGTCTCCCCAAAAGCAGTGTTTCTCTCCGGAGTACTATCATTCATTAACATCAATAAATAACACAGGCCGCCGCTGCCATTCCCGAGAGTGGACGTAGGTCATCTGGACTGAACCACTATAAATTCCGGTGTTGATCTATTATTTCTTATTTTACTCTTAATTGTCATTGATTGCATGTTTGTCACTCATTAATTATCCATTAATCACACCCTTACACATACTTAACTGTTAATCTTGCACGAAGACAGTTTTGTGCATCATGGATTATAAATACACTTAATAGGATATTACCAATATTTGTCTATTTATTGTTAATTTTTTTATCTTATTACTGGTAAAATTTGCCCCACGACATTATACTCACCTTCACGCCTAAACCAGGTTGCTCGGCCTCCACATGCCTTTATGCCATACAGTATGGCGATAAATCTTTCACCATTGGGTTCTTTGCACAGGAAAAGCTCACCCTAACATCCACCGATGTGTTTAATACCTTCCTATTCGGTTGCGGCGAGAACAACCAAGGACTCTTCCGCGGAGTTGCAGGTTTGCTTGGACTCGGCCGTGATAAGCTATCCATTGTGTCACAGACTGCTCAAAAGTACGGAAAATTCTTCTCCTACTGTCTTCCATCGATGCCGAGCTCCACCGGACACTTGACTTTCGGAAACAATGGAGTTCCGAGCACTGTGAAATTCACACCGCTGTCTATAAACACACAAAACCCATCATTTTACTTCATTGACCTTAAAGCAATAAGTGTGGGTGGACGACAATTATCTATCAGCCCATCGGTATTCTCAACCACCGGCACCATTATAGATTCCGGAACAGTCATAACACGCCTGCCTCCTGCGGCTTACGGCGCCCTGCGGACAGCTTTCCGGCGAGGAATGACAAATTATCCAATGACAAAGGCAGTATCGATACTCGATACTTGCTACGACTTGAGTAATTACACCACGGTGAACATTCCAAAGATTGGTTTCTTCTTCAGTGGAAATCTGAATGTTGACATAGACTCGTCGGGGATACTTATTGCGGCGACTTCAACGCAGTTCTGTTTGGCCTTCGCTGGAAACAATGATACCTCTGATGTGGGTATTTTCGGGAATTTTCAACAGAAAACGTTGGAGGTGGTGTACGATGTGGCTGGAGGGAGACTAGGGTTTGGCTCAGGTGGGTGTGCATAAACTGAGCTAATGGCACCATAAAACCTTTGTGATAGGCCTTATATAAGAAACATGGATTGAATTAAGCTAGAAAGGGTGTGTCTACATTTACACGAACATGATGGGAAATGATAAAAAAATAGTACTAAACACTTTGAAAAAAAATATCAGTGAATTGTCCTCAAAAATTGGTCTAAGTATTTAATCACCCTAGTGCTTTGGTATTAAGTTATCTTAATGTTATCCTTTTGGGATAAATCAACCTCATGTTTTATGATATTTTTAATGAATATTCTTGTTGTTGGCGACATTACATTTTCTTTCTCTTTAGATTTGTATTTCATGCCCTTTCAACAAAAAATTATACCTCATGGAATAGCCTTCCATTAAAATAATTTGTTGATCTAATCAATTCCTACTATTGAACAACTTGTTAAATTAGGCTATTGTTGAATATTCAATGAAGTTTTATAGTGAACTCAATTACAATGATAAACTAGGTCAACAAAATAATGAAATTACAAACTAGATTCCAATGGTAGTATTGTTACCAAATTTAATAAAAAATACTTGAACTAACAACACTAAGTTGTGAGTTCGAATATAGAAGGTCTGCTACTGTGTGTGAATAGTGACAAAGTTTAATGGAGGCCCAAATGAATGGTAAGCTTGGAATAAGCATTAATGGATCTTTGGTCTAATTGTATTCTTTGTTTTGTAAAAATTTTGCATTTTGAGGTCTATGGTTCAAGTCCTTAATCTCTCCTCTCCCTCTAAAAAAAAAAAGAGCTTGGAATAAGCACAAAATCTTAATATATATGTATATTTCAGTTTCACTCACATTTGCTGTACTATATATATCAAACCCACTACAAAGTCTGAACCATCACACATAAACAAATATCAGTTTAGACCTTGAGTCCACACGCTTAGACCCCAGCCCAACTCCTGAACTGCTTCATCAATGAAGCCCAACGGTCTGCGACATGGCTTAATGATGTAAGGGCATCTTTAACCTTAACTCAAATTTATATTCAAATTTACATTTAAATAAAAAAATCTAAAAAATTTGCTTTAATCGTTACTCAAACTTATACCAAATCAAGGAAGACTTTTTTTTTTACATAAATTAAAAGAAAGTCAAATCCTTACCAAAATCTTTAATAGTGAGATTTTACCATTTTTAAAAATCCAATAGTCATATTTACTCTAATTTAATTTTGGATTTGCCCCCATTTAAATTTAAGTTTCTCCTTCTTTAAATTTTAGTTTGTCTATTAAAGCCCTTTGTATCAAATCAAGTTTTTTACTCAAATGCTAACTTAAATTTGAGTAAAAATTTGAGTCATGGTTGGAGATGCTCTATTTTTTATTTTTTTTTGTTGTTGTTGGAGATGCTCTAATGATGACTTTTGGGTGAGAGTACATTTTTTAAAATTTATTTGAGAGAAAATGTATTTATAAGTTTTTTTATTCTATTAAGTTCATTTTTACTTAAATTTCTTGTTATTAGGTACACAATTCAGTTTATTTTTTATTTACCTTTCCTTAAATAATGCATAATTGATTGACAGCTTATTTTCTAATTAAATATGTAAAGATTTGATTAGATTTATCATTCGCTTAAATTTTGAACATTTATTCTTATTCTTTCACTTACTCTCTTTCTTAGCTTTCCTCTCTATTTTCTCTTACTACTACTCTCTCTCTCCCTCTCCCTATTTTCACTCTCACTCCCCTCTCCCTATCTGTTACTCTCTTATCTCTCTTATTTTCTCTTTTCTATTGCATATTCAAGGCACAATTACTTTCTCTCTTAATTTGAAGTTGGTATTCTTAAACGTTATTATATTGATACTCTAAAAGAGCTACACCGAAAAGGTCATAAATAATTGATAATTTTTTTTTCTTTTCAAATATGTACAAATTTGATATAATCAGATATTAACGTTACACCAAACAATTACTTTTACATTATCAGATATCAACGTTATACCAATCAGTTACACTCGCGTTATGATACACTATAGAGTTACACATGTGTCTTGATAGACCAAATAGTTACACTAAATAGGGATATGAAATGACAACACCATAGCCAATATATCATTCAATTGTTTATATAAACCAAAAGTTACACCATTCAGTGTCATCATATTATTACACCAATTATATACATTAAAATTGGTGAACCAAAAAAACACACCAAAGAGGTACATCATACAGGGACACCAATTTTTTTTTGTTAGAGGGGAGGAGGGGAGAGGGACTTGAACCCTTGACTTCAAAAAAATAATGTCTTCACAAGTCAAAGAATATAATTGGACCAAACGCTCATTAGTGACACCAAACAAATAAACAACATGTACATATAAAACAATAATAAGCCAAACTATTACATCTGATAGTTGCGCTATCCAATGACATCAAAAGGTACAACAATGACATATACCAAATAATTTCACCATCAATTGCGCCAAAAGCTCAGCCTTTTAAGTTACAAATGGTTTCACCGTCGACGACAATTTTGTGATACTGTTACAAATTAGAACTTTTAAGTTATAATTTTGGATTTTATCAACCAAATTTAAAAAAAAAAAATGAATTCTTATCGTCAATCATCAAGGATGAAAATCCGGTACACGATGAAGAAAGTAGGGATGATGATGAAGACAGTAATAATCTGGTGACTACTATAATAATAGAACCCAAAATCGCACGGTGTTTATGTAAAACTCGGATAAATTTGAATTTTTTACGGAAAGGGGTAAAACAATAATTTGCTACTAAAGTACGGTTTGCAATCTTGAAATTTTTTAGATCTCGGATGACGAAACGGAACTCACCATTGAATTCATCTCATGAAATCTAGTTACCCTGATAAATTTCGTCGAATTCTGAGATATTCAAATTTTTTCGCGTTTTACCAGGTAATCGGGTCTCGGGTGACCCACAAACGAAATTTTTAATAAAATTATGAAAGTTAAAGAATAATTTAAGGCAAGTTAAAATAAAAATATTAAAAACTTGAACTAGGGTGAAATTTAATCATTTCGGGACGAAAACGAACCTAGAAAAAGGAGGACGTGTGGCGAATTATGGACCAAGTATTTGGGGATTGTAAAAGGGGTCCTCCACCTTCTCTCTACGATTTACAGAGATCAAGTGTTCAAATCCACTCGGACCAAGAATAAAAGTTGTTCTCCTTGTCAAAGGCTACAAAACCATACCAAGAAGGTCATGTTTGGCTGAGATTCCAAGGACGGAATTTTGGAAAAGTGAAGATTCTAACTTGAATCGAGTTCTTGAATGCTTCCTACGGTTGTTCTTTACGCTTCAAAAGGTAGGGTTCCCTCCTACTTAGGTTTATTTTCTAACTTAGGGTGTTTTATATGAGATGGGTAGATTGTTAGAGACTTAACACTTGTCTATTATTGTGAAATTGATGAAATGAGTATGAAAATGGGTATAGAAATGGTTTAAAATAAATTTCTAGCTTGAATTGATATGTGGAAGTTACTTCTGTAATTTTATAGAATTTGATATTATGTGGGCATGTTATGTGTTTATGTTGTGCCTTTGTGAATGAAGTGTGTTGTTGGCATGAAATATGTAATAACATGCTTGTGATTTGATATTAAGTATAAAATATTGATATATGTTTATTGATATATTGACATTATGATGGATATGATTTGTCATGAAATATGTAGATATGTAATTAAATTAGCCATTTGGCATTCGTTACATATGGGTCCTGACATTGATATTGCAATGGTACATTATATTGTATTTGCATGGAGGCATCGCATCCATGGGTATGAGACATGAGTGTGGGTGTGTGTGCATGGTTTGATCAAACACCATATTTGGTGGATGATGGGTGGGGGCTCAGGAAAGTTGAATTAAAGATCTAATTGAGTAGCACAATTGCATGAAAAATTTGTGTTGGGTATAACAAAAAAGGCTAGACTATCACTCGGTGCAAGACCCGACTACGTGGTTCATACATTCCCCTGTGGTGAAATTCTGGAATAGTGTAACAGTGTACGGAATCGGTGGTGAGACTCCAAAAATTTTCTACCCAACAAAGACACATGATTTTATTTTATAAAATACTTGGTTCGTACACTCTCCTGAGGTGAAATTCTAAAAAGTGTACTTGTTTTCTAAAATTGTCATTCGATATGTAACATCAATGGCGGGTTTTTCATACATTGGCATTGCATTGTGTGGTGGGAGTCTGTGAAGGCTCAGGTTAAGGTGCATGAGTGAGTCTCATCTCATTTCATGGCATGACATAGTAAAATTCTAACATTAAATTGCATATTCTTGTTTAGAATGATTGTTTCCGTGTTAAATGTTATATGTGAGCATTTCATATGCACTTAGGTTGGGGAAGTAGCATCTGTAAGAAATATTCTACTGAGCGTGACTCACCCTATATGGAAAATATTTTAGGTGTTGGATATACGCCGATGGAAGGCTCTTACTCGAGGCCTCAGAGATGAAGAAAGCCGACTTGTGGCTTTAAAATCGTGTTTTGTAAAATATTTGTGAAAATTATGTTTTGGGCATGTAATCGTATGAAAATGATTGTAATAGAACTTGTATTAACTATGTTTGATGTACAAATATATGTTATATGAGTTGGGTGAATTTTGTAATCAATTGGAAATTAAAAACATGTGAAAAAGACAAATATGGGCAAAACCTACCGGTGGAACATAAACTACAGGTAGAACATTAACCTACCAGTAAAACATCAACCTTCGGTAGAACGTTGTGCAGCAAGCAAAGCCTATCGACAGAACATCAACCTACCGGTAGAACTTTTCTACTGGGCAGAACCTACCGATAGAACAATGACCTACCGGTAGGTTTTTTAAAAATCTGAAATTATCAGAATGCTTTGCCAAGCTTTTGGGTTTTGTGCCCTCTCATTTCAACGATATAAATGGAGTATAAATTGTGGTATATTGGACCTCGGTTAGGTCAAATGGTAAAATGTACACGGGTTACACGTATGGGTTATAATTCCGATTAAGAGAATGCTCTTGACATGATGTCGGGTTGTGCGACAAATTAGGGGTACTTTCGTGGATTGATGGGTGGTCAACGGTTGATGAATGACCCCCAATTTTAGCGGCGTCACAGCTTGATATTGGAGCCTAGGTAAATGATTTACCTAGGGCTTAATGAGGCATGAGTCTAGACCATTACATTCATTGTGCATCTCATGTTAAATGCTATAATATGCTGCATGTTATGTGTTATGTGAATTATATGCATGGTGGAATGTATATGGAAAGAGAAATACTAGAGTTAGGAAACATAACC